TTTCCAGCAACTCTCTCCTCAGCTGTAGCAGGGGATGAGCTCATCAGGTTTTGCTCTGTGGGATTTAAGAGGGTATATTTCTTGTCATAAAACATGTCAGAATATGGCATCATTTCAACCTCTACCACTGTATCAAAGCTGTTGAGGTTGGCCAACCAGGTCTACAAGGGGAAGAAAGACAGAAGCAAACTTATACACAGGACAACACCTTAGGAGGTGAGGCTAAAATTCCAGAAACCTTAGAAAAGTGGAGCTAAGTATTCTACATTATTGGTTAGGTCCTTAGACAAGGTCATTCTCTGAATTCTTGTTCTTTCTGAAGGAATTGACACTTAGGGACTCTCCTTGCTCAATGGATATCTGAGAACAGATGTCAGATTAGGTATTAGCAACCAGTAATTGCCTTTTGGGTTTTGGTTTCTTTTTTTTTTTTTTTAATTTTAGTGAAGGAATTCATTGTCTGTTGAATGATGATAATAAAAGCGAACTTCTTTTTTGTAGTACGTATGTCATGACTGACAGTAGCTTTAGCAAGAATGTGTCGATACATTGCTAAAGCTTGCAAGGAAATGCAGGCATCCAGAGCAAACGCAGGATTAAATTTGTGTTCTGAATCTTGCTGCTCATGCAGTATGGCATTAGGAGAACGTACCCTGGCTGGGAAGGAGAGACATTGGATGTGCTGGGCACCCACAGTGGGGAAAGTCTTGAGACAAGCACAGTTTTCTGAATATTGAGCTGAACTTCCCAGTTCCCAGTTTGACACCCAGCTGCTCTCCATGAAGTGGGCGGAAGGCAAGCATTTCTGAAAATGTAGGTGCTTTGAAACCTTAAATGGGAGCTTCTCTAACTTGGACAGCTGGGCTATCTTGTGTACCATTATGTTTAAAATTAGTGGTTGGGAAAGAATTAAGAAGAAAAGAAAAGAGAGATTAGTTCAGATAAATAAAATATAGAGCAAGCTGCTTCCCAGACAGTTGAGACTCTGCAGGGAATTGCCTCACTGCGAAGGATGTCTCCCAGCTTCCTTCCCACTCATCTTCCTTATGAGATAGTTTCCCTCCCCTAGTGCAAGGATATCTTTGTAGCTGCTGCCATCTAGAATATCCTCCTTCTGTGAATTGCTTAAATGCCCTTTTTGCCTTTTGACTTAACACCTACTTTTATTCACTGTGAAATGATTTTATACGCTTTTTAGTAAATGTGACAGGCAGTGTATTACCCACTGTCGTCTTTTTATTTACTCCCATAAAGCATTATGGAATACAGTTAGTATGTGACATTCAGGACACTGTATAGTACTGCATTGTATTGCATTGCAACATGGGACAGTTCAGTGCCTTGAAAGAGGCACTGCCTTTTCCTTTGCCTACATCTGTTCTCAAGTGGGGTTTTTTTCCTGACTTTCCCTCTGGCCAGTATCTGGTTTCCACGAGTTGCCCCAGTGTATCTGATGAGGACAATGCTTGTCTGCTTGGGAAGGTCTTGTCATTTTAGTCTCACATCTTAGTTGCTGCAAGAAGTACAGGAGTTGCTCATATCTCTTCAAGCTGTTTCCCAGATGCTTGATGATTCGTGAGGGGCCAACCTCCAGAGACCGAGTTTGGGTTGACTGTGTTCCCATGTCTGTCTAAACCAGGTAACTCTGCAAAATCCCACTGAAAATCCCCTTAGAATACTCTGCTGCTTTTGGTTCCAGTCCTGGCTACATCACTTCAGATTGTAATTTAGCATGTGGGGAGAGAGGTAAGACAGAATCACGCTGTTTCAGAGCTCCTGAAGTGTCTGCTCCAGTGTCAGGTGAAGGCTCTGAGTGGCTTTGCATTTCATCCCATGTGAGTTATAGCAACAGTATTTATGGCCATTCTTGTCAAACATACTTTCTTCCTTTGTGGAAAAGGCATATCTTATTCTATAATATTTTTATATCCCCTATTTTGCTATACTGAGCATTGTCTCCCCATGCTTCTCTCCAGCCTTTCCTCTATAATTACTTTATAATTACTGCATCTACCATGACAGAAATAACAAGTCACTGTGCTTTGATTTTTAAGCTTTTTAACGCGTGCATCTTTATTTCTCCATTTACTTTTTCAACTTGGATAGTGCGGAGCTGAGCCAGCCATTACATTTCAGCACTGATCTTGGTCAGCTGTGATTCACTTGCTGGCAGAGCACCCCAGTCTGCAGGATTCAGAGTTTAAGTTAAATGAAAAGCCATGACAGAGCCTATCTTCTTGGGGTACAAGAACACTGGTAACATACTTTCTCAGTGGTGTGCTGAGTAAAGGGCACAGATTTTTTGTTGGAGCTCATATATATGAGTACATTTAAAAGATACTGCTCCTAGCACTCTAATCTCAGTGGCTGACAACTCCAGAATAAAGCCTGTACTAGGACTGGCTGGGAAGAGGGAACCTTTCCCTCAAAAGCATCAACCACATTGAACCACACAGTGAAATGTGTGCTGATAGAGGGAATATGGCAAGAGTTTTCTGTCTGAGAAAGAAGAGCAAAGCACTCTCATGTATAGGATGAGTTCTGCCATGTTTTACTGCAGTAACTTTTGTTCTGACTTAGGGAATGGTTGTTTCATTCAAAAGTGCAGAATTGCTTTCATCAAAACTTTTATTTTTTTATCCCTTTTCTTGGACATTTTGGACATAGTGCTGTGAAATACTTTGTCCTCTTGGGAGTAGTGGGTGTTTTCAGAGTCCAAAGGTCCTCAGCATTTCAGTAGGAACTCAGTAGTGTTGGCTGGACATTTTGTTTCACTCCAGATTAGGGGAAAAAAACCAGTGGTGTCTGTCTTTTTTTTCCCCCCAGAAAAAAAGGAATAAAATAAAATAGAAAACAGACTTGAGTGTAGATGTTCCTGATGAAAATTGCAACAAAAGTGATAGGTGGGTGGTCTTTATTTTCACTGAATTGTCACTTTTCCAGTGCAAATAGTTTGGTCAAAACAGAACAAAACAAAACAAAACTGGCTAGATCTGCGCTTCATGAGCTATGGAGTCAGGGCTGCATTTGCTTAGAAAAGGTGGCTCAGGGTGTGAGAACACTTTATCATGAATGAATGCATCTTAGAAAGATGTCACAGATAGATCTTTGGAGATAGTTTTTACAGGAGACCTAGACTTTTATCTTCTAAGTTTCAGGTTGTTTGGAAGCTAGAATTATTACCCTGTCAGAAGGGTACAATGAACTGTTGACACACAACCACACTTTGCTTACAGCTATGTGCAGGGAGGTATTTACAGCCAGGAACCAGTGAAAAGCAACCTGAAAAATAGATGTACTTACCATGAAGTTTGTACCATTTCTCTGGGTTCCTGTTTTCCATGAGCATTTATGAAACAAATATATTTCTTTTATATAAAGAGCTTAGAAAGCTTCAGTCAACCATCAGATTTTATTTTAAGAGAGAAAACTTTGATTACTGTGTGTGACAGATGGCTGTGGCTGGTTGCTTACTTTTGGTTTTGTGTTTCCAACATTCATAGAGTGGCTTGGTGGGAGAAATTTGCTCTTCCTCAGTAGCCAAATTCAGGAGAAGGCACCAGTTTTATATTTCTGTTGCTTGTAGTGGAACTGGAGGTTGACCTGACATTCAGCAGCGTACTGGGGGTGATGTTCAGTTCAAGATCAGGACACCGGAGTTTAGGTGTTGACATGAAAGCAAGTGTCCAAGTTCATGTAGTAAGTAGAAGTTTGGTCAATGCAGTTGGGTGACTGACTCAGGACCTGTCCAGGTTTAGGTCCCGCTGGCTACGTTGAGAAGGGGCTCAGCATGCCCATGCGCAGGTGGCTCTGTGAGACAGCACAGCTTCCATGGGACTTTTGCTGGGGGCTGCTGGATATGCTGCTGGACCTCCCTGTCCTCGTGGAGGCCAGGCAGGAAACCGTACTATGTCTGAAATGGTATTAGAAATCTCTCTCTGAGGAACTGAACTGAGCCCTGGATGGGCTCCACCACATGGGAAACACAGATAGCTCTCTCACAGGTGGAGGCTCGGATCTGAGTGTCTTAACTGGGAACTTCTGATCCTTGAAATTTCACCACACTGAAGCTGTCAATGCACAAAAAAAGCATTGTTTGCAGTTCTTTGATGCTGGCAGCCAAATTCCAGTATCAGTAACAGCTGGACAATGCTAAGTGCATGGTGCAACTGAGAAGACATTTTGACTTTGAGAGAGCTGGGTCTTGCCACAGTTCCTGTTATCCTTGGAGCTAGGGATTTACAGCAGCTGAGGCTTTACCTCAGTATAAGTAAACTTTAAGAACAATTGAGTATTTGCTGCAGCAGAACTTGTGGAATTTTAATTAAGTAAAGACTTGTCTATTTGTCTTGAAGTTACGCAATAAGGCAGTTGGTGGGACAGTTTCTGACTTCAGTTACATCGGTGTAAGCGTGGAGTAGCTATTTGTGTTAATGATCCATTGACAGTAAATGATTCACACCATATAAATAAAATCAAAATGTGACTTAACACATGCTTCTGGGAGGAAATACTTAAGCACAATAAACAAACTTGGACTCACTCACAGGCACTTTCCTGCAGCTTTTTATTGCTGCTTTTGTTTAGAGGGCATCTCTCCCCAGAGCACCACATTTGGGAAGCAGGGCTCTTTACCTTTTTACTTCACTCTGTCTCACTTTGTTGTTCTCAAGCTTGCAGCTTTTATTAAAGTTTAAATTCTGTTTTAAAACTAAAATGGTGAGAAGGAAATTATATAATGGATATCAATGTAAAAGTAATGCTATATTTATCATAAAATAAAGAGTCTATATAGTTGAGTACTGTTGTTCTTATTGTTTATAGGGGGTTGAATTAAGAGAAAATACACTGTACTTCCTATTTAATAATAACTGCTCCTAGACCCAACTTTTATAGACTTTAAACGCAAATAATTTGTGCTGTGTTATAAACTGTTGTGTTTTTTGCCTTCCTGTAACTGGAACAACATACTAATTTCTACAAGTTGTGACTACTAACAGAGAGCAATCACCTCACAGACTTGTACCGAAAAGAAGAGACCATCAGCGTGGCAGGGAATGGCTGCATCCACAGTCCTCGCTTCCCCAGCAGTTACCCCAGGAACCTCCTGCTGACATGGCGGCTCCACTCCCCGGAGAGCACCAGGATCCAGCTGGCTTTTGATAATCAGTTTGGACTGGAGGAGCCTGAAAATGATATCTGCAGGTGAGTGGCAAGTGGAAGTTTGCAAGGGGCTCCTTAATACCACCTTTGAGCTTAAGGATGTGGCCACTGGCATGAGACTGCAAACCAAAACCTGGGTATCTCGGGCCGGGTCTAGGATGGCCCTGCTTGGAGGACAGACCTCCAAGGGTCCCTTCCAACCCAAATTGGTCTTTGAGTTTGTAAGTAAACTGAGCTGTCCGGGACCTGAAGCAGTTTTGGCAGGTTTTAGTCCTATAATATTTTAAGCACAAGGCACTTGTACGCTCAAATCCAGCTACCTGACCACTCAGGCACCGCTTCAATAGGATTTTGTCCTCTGTTACCTCTGTCATGTTTCAGCCAGGCAAAAAACATCTTTTTCAGTAGGTGGAAGGCTCTGGGAGGTGTGAGTGAATAGGTATGTGTTTATATTGGGGTGTGAGGGACAGATAAAAATGCATTGAAAAATATAACTATGTTCTTCAAATTATTTGGTTATCTTTATTGTTACTCTTGACTGGTACAGTTTCTTTTAAAACCTTTAAATATAGGTCCACAAACAGTGTACTCTACATACTGATATATCTAATAAAGTATACTCTACTATATCCCAGTTGCTTTGGTTTCCCCTTTTAAGCAAAAGTGACCATAAGTTCGTTTGATCTGGCTAATTAACCCAGGTAGATAAACTGCTCTGCATTAGCAGAGCACAGAGGCGAATCTTGCCAACATTCATGAAAACAGTAAATCCATGGAGTTTTTTGTTTGTATTTCTTTTATTCAGCTATCTGTTCTGCGGGAGAGAGCAGGCTCAGGATTCCCGTGCGCTCTGAAAGGCAGATTGCTGTGATGCTACTTACATAAACCGCTCAAGTCTCAGCTTCCAGCTCTCTGCCTGATCATGTTGTTACTTACACCTTATCTATGCAGAGAACTGGGTTGTTAGGATTTCTGCACACCCAGCCTCTGCTTATCTTATCTTCTTTGTCAGTTAATTTGCATTTATAGGGTTTGGCAGCTCTGAGGGGTTTCACAGGGTGGATTTTTTTTTTCTTCTTTTGCTTTGTTCATTTTCTACATACCAATAGAGAGAACCATTTGCTTTCCATTTAATAATAGAAGAATGAAGCCTGAAGCTGGCTCTCCTTCCCTGCGCCTTGATGGTCTTGGCAGCTGCTGCTCTGCTCTGGTGCTGTTGGAGATCAGCAGCGGAGTCAGTAATGGCAGTTACCTCCCAGCACTGCAAACGCTTTCCCAGATTGAGAGCCTAATGCATACAGAAGCGGCCTGTTAATATTTACATAGTGGATAAACTGTGGCTGACCTTAAACCACTGCAACTTTGAAACAGAGGGCTAATTTACTGTGGAAAAATAGATGAAGTATTCTCTGTCAAGAGCCATTAAAGGTGGTGGCACGGTGAGGGGAAGTCAAGCTGTTACCGGTAGTATGGGTTTGGACCTGTCTTGGAAGACAGTCTGCCTGCTTTCTCCAGAGCAGCTAGTTTAGGATGCAGAGAGAAGCAAAGACCTTCCATCATCCATAGTGTCTATAGAAGCTGGAGAAATGTCACATTCTTTTCTGCAATAAAGCTTTCCCTGGCGTTCCTGGAAGACCTTTATTTGCCATAGTATTACTTCTAGAGTGAGGAATTTCTTGGGCAGACAGCTCGTGATGGCTTTAAGCCTGTTAAGTACTGTGTGCATAGTTGGATTTTTTGCTAATGCTCAATATGTTTTTCAAAACTAGATCCTTTCTGCAACTCCAGTCCCTGACGATCCCTGCAGTGCTGCTTTAGAGAGACGGCTAGGAGTGTTTTAATTGAAATGAATGCTGAGAGCTGAGCATGTGCTTGAATGCTGTGCATATTGGACGAGTAATTCAGGACCACTGCACCTTCCCTTCCTTTTGTACTTGCTTTTGACCTTAGGCTTTTTTTCCAGAAATTTCTAGTGTTTTCTTTTAATTTTTCATTAATGCTAATTATTGTAATTTGCATGCTATTACCTGAACTGATTGAAATTCATTCAGGCTGAGGAATGAAGAGGTATACTTTAGCAAGGCTGTTTCAGAAGGACAGGAAATATTCAAGGATTTACAGAATTTTCTAGAAGTTCCTTTAGCATTTCCACAGGCACTTGATAAGAGATGATTCTGAAATGCAATTAAATGGATGCACAGAAACAACCAAGACTGCACCTACTTCCATGATCATTGCAGCAAAGCCTCTGCTGTTGAAAGCAAAAATAATCCCTGAAAGCCCATGGATTTGCCGCATTTTTGCTAGCGGTTAGTCTGGCTACCGGCCTCAAAAAGTAGAGGCTGGTCAGGGCAATTTTCACCAAAGCCTACAAGATCATCTTATGCTGAAAACTCTGCAACCCCTTAATGTTACGATCAGCGTTCAGTGGCTGTCGTGCTGCCCGGGGGACGGTGGTAGGTACTCACGCGGGCAGCGGGGAGCTCTGCCTGGGTACCACGTCCATCACCATGGGGCAGTGGGAGCAGAGGATGGTGGACAGAGCCTGAGACAAGTTTACCTCTGTCTGGAACTCAACTTTGTAGTGTTATAAAAAAATGCATGTTTCAGCAGAGTTTGGGCAGATTTAAGTGATTTGGTTGCGGCGAATCTGTTATTTTCTGTTCTGTGCAATTTGGGGTGGGTGAATATAAAAGCAGCAGTGCTGATATTCTCAAGCCACACAGTACTTGCGTTTTTTTCACATGGGCTCTCAGCAGAAAAAGGGAAGCAGGTCTGTTATTTACAGAGCTATTCAGCTCCCAGTATTCTCAAGCCACACAGTACTTGTGTTTTTTTCACATGGGCTCTCAGCAGAAGAAGGGAAGCAGGTCTGTTATTTACAGAGCTATTCAGCTCCCACAACTGCGTAGGGAGGCGGGTGCCTGGCCCACAGACCCGGGGGTGGGGAGCAGCACATTTCTAGTAAGAATCAGTTAACAGTCTTAAACTCCCTCTTTGGAGGGAGCACATGCTTTGATAATAAAAACCTTTCTGGTAAAGACCTCCAAAGTTTTAGTGCTTAACTGTACTGTGGGGATGGCAGTTCTCCCCATCTCTCATTGCCTGCACTCAACCTGCCCCTCTTGTCAATCACCTGTGCCTTGCTGGCTGTAATTTATGGGGCCTAATTCTGCCTCCTCAGATATTGAGGGGCTGTTTTTCTCATAGACATAGTGAGATCAGGACTTTATTCTCTGCCTTCCTTATTCTCCAGCTCAAGAAATGAACTCAATAAATGACCCAAGCCAGCAAATACGCAGGCTGCGGCAGTAAGTGCTGTCACTGTGTGCTCTCGTCCCTGTGGTTTAGTGTCTGCTGCTCCTGGCAGAGCCTTCATTGGGCTGTGGCACAGGTGCCTGGTCAAGGTGTGATCTTGCACAGGGAAAGAAAGACGTGCTGTTGCTTGGCCCCTGGTGACAGCACCCAGGTGAAGAGCGGAGGAGTCCCTGCTGCGGCATGCAGAGTGCCAGCCTGCCCTTTTCTGGTTGAAAGCTTGATACGAGTCTTTCCAAACCATCTAGCAGGAGCACCATACCTCCTACAAAGGAGGTCCTAAAACGCACCTTTCAGCAGCATGCACCAATGCTGTGTCCCTCCAGCATCTCCCTTTGCTCCTGGCATGGCAGCAGCCCAGCTCCAGCCCTCGGACAGCCTCAGCAGGCAGGAGCCAGTGGCTGCTGCTGCAGGGAGTTAGGGGACCACCAGAAAGTGCACAAGGGCTTGCAGCTGCTCAGCTTGGGCAGCCTGCCTTAAATAATATTTTATCAAGTCTCTAAATTATTTATCTGCCACATGAAACACAGTGTGTATGTTTACTGTGTGCTAAGCACAGGCAAGTGCTTCTCTTTGCTATTTTAATTGGTAGAATTGCTATTTTTATTGGTAGAAAATACTGTCTGGCATGTTCCAAGCACCCAAAAATCCGCCATTTGAGCACTTAGGCAGTAGCTTGCGGCTTAGTGTATTTTGTGCTACACGAGCATGTCCACCATTTGTAATATTTAGTCTGATGTTTTGCAGTGGAGAATGGGGGACAGTTGTCTTTCTGTCTCCAGCTGTGCTCCTGTTTATTTGCCACCATCTTCTGTAACCAGAGTTAGCAAAAACTAATCCTTCAAACTGGTTCCCAGGTATGACTTTGTGGAAGTGGAGGATGTGTCAGAGACCAGTACGGTTATACGAGGACGGTGGTGTGGACACAAGGAAGTACCTCCAAGAATAACATCAAGAACAAATCAGATAAAGATAACCTTCAAATCTGATGACTACTTTGTGGCTAAACCTGGATTCAAGATTTGTTACTCCCTTGTGGTAAGTCATCTAGCTGTGTCATGGGTGAGAGACAGATTGTAGTGTAAAAGAGCATCAGTACTTGAAGACTGGATGGTGTAGCTAAATGCATTGGATCAAAACACTGATTGACTGAAAGTATTTTTCATTCCAGCAACTACATTAATACAGATCAAAGTATTTTTGACATCCTGTCATTAAATATAAAATAAAGTCCAGGCCAAGATTTACACTAGTAACATGTTTCAGAAGCACTAACACTTTCTGCACTGCGGCTGCACTGCCAGTGCTTTGACAGAAGCTGCAGAAATAGCAAAGCAATGGCTGCTCTATGAACTCCTTTTTTATGTTCATTTGAGGTCACATAAAAATACCTTGAAGGGTTATGGCTGTGATTCTGAGTTAAATGCGGAGTAGTTTATTCTACATGTGATAAAATTCTACATGCAAGACAATGTGCTAAGGCTCAGGCTGTGTTTTTAACCACGTGCAAACATACCTCTTTGTATATGCAGTGGCATTAGCAGTGTATCATGTACTGTTTCAATGAGATGAAAAGCTCTTTTTTATTTTGGTTTTGTCTTTAGGGAGCAGGA